TTATTTGCATAGAAATCAAATTGGAGTTCTATTAATTAACGGATTATATTATTTAATCTTTTTATTATTTGTTTTATGTTATTAACATATTGTATTATTATATAATGTTAGAATTAACGATCTTAAACACATTGTTTTTATCATGTTTTATTTTCCAATTAACTTATCAATTAGTTTTTGTCAAATATGATTAATTGATCAGTTAGTTTGCTAAAAACATAACCTTTATAAGATTTAAAAAATAAGAAACGATAGAAACATTTTACCATTGGTTTTAAAATTGGTGTAAAATAATTTAATCATATACTATTTAAATTAAATTTATCCAGTTATAGACAAATAATGTGTTTTATATAGGCAAAAATAAGGAGTCGTTTACCAAACACTTACCCCATAAGCATCTAGCGGTAAAATTTAACATCATCATTTACTTATCGGGTAAGATTTTAGTCAACAAAAAATGACTTTCTATGCAACGAATTACCTTGTAAGAGCTGACCGTGGTAAAAGTCATTGTCCTCACTTACCGAGTAAGACTTTAGGTCTTTGTCTCGTTCTTACCGAGTAAGATTCATGGTATTTTCCATTTTCATCTGATAAGGTAATATAACTTGATAAGCGTTTACCAAAATAAGCATTTGGTAAACCGTAAACGGCCCCTAAGTAATCATCTATTTATGATATTTAATGAGTATGGATTTATCAAGTATTAATCCCTTGCTAGATATAAGATGTATTTTTGGAGTTAGATCTTAATGCATTTACCATTTGGTCTCTTTTTGTAGTACCAACAACATCATATCAGATATCACATAATTTATGTCTTAAATTCTATTTTCACAATGAGTTATTAGTATTGTTGTCACAACATTCTTTGAGTTATTTTCCATCTGATAGCAAGACAACTGAATGGTTGCTTTCCATGAAAATCGAAATAATGACACCAACTTCACTTTTATAAGAATCTACATGCGAATAATGGTGATGTTAATTGGACACGAATTCAAATAAGGCATGGTTTCAATTTTACCTGCATCACAATTAATGCTTTTGCTTGCATCAGTTTTAGAACAAAACTCAAGATAGTTAATTGAGGGTGTTGACACTGTTGTTGCCTAAACATGTGACGCATAATTGGGTAATGCTGATAAGAGAAATAATGGTCAAATGTGAAAGAAAATGTTCCTATTGAAGGAAAATATGAAGATGTAGAAGGTTGTTATGTAAATTTAAACAAAGATGGTACCATGGTTAGATCTAAATTATCATATTAGTTGTAAAATATAGACAGATAAAATATGAACTAATGTATCATAGATACAAAAATGCCATGTTAAACACTGAAACGACATCAAGGGCTCTGTGTGAGCAATTACACTTGATTGTTACATCGAAGTCATAGTTGAGCTTAAGGTAATACTTCAAGGGATGATTGTTCTATGTTCAAATCAATTTGAATTCAGTAATTTTACAATCAAGTCCACATCTTTCAGTTATCAACTATTAGGTCCTTGTGGTTGAACCTTTCAAAACCTTACAACTTGAATCCCTCATTTGGAACCTCTATTACAAATAAGCACAAAAATAGGATGTTATAACGATTGCCATGAAAATATTCTACTCCCCCAACACATATCTCAGATATTGCTTGTTGTCACATAAATATTTTTCAGATATACTCGCTTCACTTTGTAAATATAATAATAAACGGGAATTAATACACAATTAAAGTTTTGAAATCAAACATATAAATATAATTGGAATAATATTATTCATCTTATTAACAATTATGTATGATATTAAGGAAATTGACTCAGATAATCATTTCATCCATTCAAATTGATCTCTTAGTCATTCCTCTACAGAGTTTACTCAAATGTCACTATGTCCGCAATATTCACATCCACAATATAGCGGACCTAGCAAAAAGATTAAAAAAAAATTATTTTCATATTCAACCCAGATATGCAATTTGCGATGGTCAGGTCCACAATTGTGACAGTGCCTCTTGCTACATGGTGGAATTTTTTTTTTTTTTTTTGTCTTTTAGCTAGTCCACAATATTGCCGATGTGGATATTCATGACGTAGTGACATTTAAGCAAACCCAAGAAAGAAATGATTAGAAACCCAATTTAATTTGAGTCAATTTTCATATAATCTAACATCTAATCGTATATAAAGTCGAATATTTATCATTTTTCCAAAATATGATTTTTATTATGACCAAAAAAGATAATAACATTGATACCTTGTAACGTAAGCTATGCTCAAATTTGTTTTTATATAAAGAAATTTTACTAAACAATAAATATATTTCCTTTTTTAAGTAAATTACATTTTTGGTTCTTGTGGTTGTTATTATTAAGTTTGGTCATTCGTTTAAATTCATTACAATTTTAGTTATTAATGTTGTTATTTTGTTTCAATATTGATCCTTCTGACTAACTCTAGTTAAAATGGTTAGAAAACTTAAGTGTATTTTAATGCTTTTACTTTTTTTTTTTATATTTTGTTTTACTGGATTATATAATAATTACGATTTTAGTTTATGTGGTTTGCTTTTTATTTTTATTTTTCTGTCTTCTTAATTTTTTAATTCACATCTTTATTATATTAATTAGTTAATGATAATTTTAACAAACAATACATAATAAGATATATATTTTATTTTGTAAATTACACCATTAAAAAATATTGTCCATGTCTTTAAATGTATAGTGATAATAATTTTTTTATTAATAAAAAATGTATTGTTTTTAGATATTTCATTTAATTTAAATATTTTTTTTTAAACGGGTATCAAATAAAAAAAATTATAATATAACTATTATTTAATTTGTTTCAAAAAGTAAACTTAAATTTATCGTAATGAAAAATAAATAAACAATTAACAACATTACATTTATGAATTCATGAAATTGTAAGTGATGCGATTAGATATACTTATAAAGGTGTAAAAACAAAAAAGATACAATTTTTTTTTTTGAAAAAATCACGTCATACAAAAACACGCGTTGCGGCGTGCCATAAACATGAGTCATGGCGTGAAACACACCTTACACCAATGCTATGGACCAGTTTGTAATGGCAAAGACGCGTTTTATGACATATCGTGCCATGGCACGCCTCTTTGAACACTGATTTAAAAGCATAGAATTGCATTAAAAATCCACAACCAAACATTTTCATTGGTTTTTTTTATTACATTTAGTGAAAATGTTTGATTGTTAATTGGTTATATATTTTTCCTTACAATAAATTTAAGTTTTAGATTTTAAATTTTTTTAAATAATTATATTATTAAGTTTTTTTATTTGATACATATTTAAAAAACAAGTAACTAAATAAAATATCTAAAAGCAATACATTTTTTATTAATAAACATAGATAAATTTTGATTTTAATATTACATAAATTAGAAAAAACAATATTTTTTTAAACACAACTTAAAATAGAAAAGTTTTTTTTATTAGTATAAAAGAATTCGTAGATACATATCAGATAAGTTGCATAAAATTAAAAAATATTCATAATTAACTTATTTTAAAGGTATCGAGAGGACTTTCTAATACTGTAATTTATAAAATGAAATACATATTTTTAATGTATTGTTAATTAAACTTATTATTGATTCAATAAAGGTAAACGAAAAATAAAATGATATAAGAAAGACACAAAAGGAAAAAAGACAAACCACATGGACTAAAATTGTAATTACTATATAATCTAATAAAATAAAAAATGAAAAAGTTAAAAAAAAAAAGTAAAAAGACGCTCTTGACTCTTGAGTCAACTAAGCTTTTTACTAGACTTGGTCATAGGGATTAAAAGTGAAATAAAATGACAATACAGGTGATTAAAACTATAATTAAATTGAAAGAGGGACCAAATTTAATAATAAATAAAAACTACAGGGACCAAATTTAATAATAAATAAAAACTACAAGGACCAAAAATGTAATTTACTCTTCCTTTAAATTGTTGCCTTTATATATTTATAGATACGTATTTACTTTTGTAAAAGAAAGTCAGAGAGTCAAAATCGATTTATGTAGCAATAATTTTG